TCTGAAAGATGGAGGAGGAGGTCAGCAGGTGGTATAATTCAGTCTGAGTCCAAAGGCCTGAGAATAGGCAAGCCTGTGATGCTACTCCTCCTCGGCTAAGCAGGAGAATGGAGAAAATGTCCCAGCTTAAAAACAGAAAGATTCACCGTTTCTCTGCCTACTTGTTCAAGTATTTGTTCAAGTCCTAGGCCAGAGGCCCAAACTGGGGTTTCCCAACAAATCAGGTCCAGCCACTTACCCCCAAAATCAAACAGTGAAAACCTGGAAAGGGACACTTTAATCAGTGTAGCTACACTAGAAAGACAAGGAGACCTGCATCCTTAGCCTTGTCTTTGGGATAAGCTCCCAGGTCATGAAGACAAAGGGACCTGATGTATGCATAGTCACACATTCTTGGTCAGACTGTGATCCCGTTGACCATTGTTCAAGATTGGTTAGGGGGAGGCCCTGTTGGCAGCGGTAAGATGTTGGTGCTCCCTGGGAGCTTCATTTTGACTCATCTCAAGATGCTTATCAATCAAGCCTCTTGTTCCCAGAATCCAAAGTGGCAGACTCAAAGCTAAGGAGATAGACATAAAATAGGAACAGAGATGTGAACATTTTTACTTTGTAGGCACTAGGGAAGAGACCATATTTTTTATCAAAAACATTCTCTAAGTCTTTGTTGCACTAAGGCCTTCAGTGAATTGGGTGGTGTCTGACTACACCAGAGAGGGCAGATTTTCTTTACCAAGTTACTGACTCAAATGCTGATCTCTTCCAAAGACATAGGATTAGTGTGAGATTGATGTGTGGCCTGAAAATAAAATGTGGAGGGAAAAGTTTTCTAGACCATGTACATTCTAGTCGGCCCCAAAGATTGTTAAATGTCTCTCTATACAGATTACAATCCATATGACACATAATGATATGTTGGAATTCAGCTAGAGTCACTCTGGGATAGTTGCAAAGAAAAAGATTATAAAATAAGGGTTTTTTTTCCCTGCAGTATATGAAAGAATCACATATTTTGTACTACTCAAACCACATATAATTTTTACTTAGATTGTTAAAGATTGATTTGTATCACTTCATTAATTAGCAATTTACATCATATTGAGTGGGTCTAATCTTCTAATAGATTACAAATGGGCCATTCATTATTTTATTCAATTCTATTTAGTTTTATACTTATTCATAGAAAGAAAGTGCCATAGAAAGATTTCCTAAAGGCAAAGGCTATTTTGGCATTCAATGTGTAAACAATAAAAAGAAAAAAAAATAAGGAGGCAGACATTGCTTACTGTGATGTATGTATTAGTGGTTTTCTGTGGGAATTCATGTCTTTAATTGTTCCATTTCTGTCAGTCTGTTGTCTTAGAAAATTGGTTCACGCAGAGCAGGGATGAAACTGATTGGCCTGATTATTATACCATTTGTCAAATGTCGAGATCAAAATAAAGGCTTCTTGAAATAGTGATCATGGAAAAATAAAATTGCCATACCCCCCCATGATTTGCACATGTTACTTCTTTTGTTCTTGTTTGTTTTTAAAATATGTGTGATTCCAAATTTCACTTCCCAATCTCCCAATCCAAGTTCCTACGCCAAACCTGAAATCCCCTCTCCATTATACTTTTCTCCTGCTTCCTTGAGTATTAAGAACCACTGCTTGCAGGTGAAGTACTGAAATTGCCTTCCTATTGACCCAGCTTACAGTCTACATTAAGGTCAGATAATAAAAATTATAAGTTTTGCAGGCCATATAATATTCCTGTTGCATATTATTGTTTTTCAACAATTCTTTCAAAAAGGTAAGGAATTTTCTCAGTTTTGCTCATAGGCAAAACTAGCCTATAGCATAGTTTTCAGATTCCTGGTCTACTTCAAACAGAGTTTTATTTTACTCCATAGTCTTCATTACTTCCTATGACTCCTGCACAGGGAAGTAGCTTAATAACTCCATACATGAACTTTACCAAAAATACCAGTTGTTAAATGGAAAGCATCAATAGTTTTCACCCTTAGTTTCTATGAATCTCTTATCTCAAAGTTCTTCCCTTGCTTTTTCCACCAATCCTAAATTGTTATGATGATCCTTACCCACTATGAATTAAGCTCCAGTGTTCTCTGTTCTCTTACCACTTACTGACCCATTGAAGGACTCCTTTAAGCCAAACTTTCCATTTTCAGTAAATTCTGATTTTGTTTTCTCTACTGAGACACTATGGATCTGTGGATTCAGTGTTCACTCTCACCTACCTTGATCTCCTTTGTCTTATCAATGGGCTGTTTCAGTGAAGGTTTTTCTGGCAATATTTGGGGGATTCAGCACTCAATAGTCAACAGATGGTTTTGATTTTATTATAGTAGCTTTCATAGTTCCCCTTTCATCATGTAAGTATATACCTGTCTTTTCACTTGTTTTAAAATCCAGGCTATTTGAAATCATATATTATTCATATCTTTGATGTATTTTGTTCAATCTAGATGCTATTTTTTTTTTTTTTGCTGTGTAGCAATTCAGCAAATGATCTTTTCTGAAGCACATTTATTCAATTCAGTTCTTTCTGTTGTTCACATCGGGTTTGCTCTGTGAAAGTATCTTTCACTTCTGTTCATGTATGACACAAAATGAAAAGGAGAGATGTTCCAAGAGCCATAATTAAGCCTTCTTACAATGTCCCCAGGAATAATCAATGCCATTTCTCTGCAGGATATTTTCTGTGAAAATAGAAGTATTTTGTGTCTGGATTTCTTTGTATCTTCAACTATTCCCATGAATGTGGATCACAGCATCCCTGCAGTGCAGACCCAATCAAGGAAACACTGTGTAGCTTCAGTCTGACAAGATGCGGAGCAAGAAAAGAAACAGGGAGCGTGTCTCACTAAAAAGTAACAAAGTCTTCCTGATGCATGCTGACGGGGTCAAGGGCAGGCAGGGCTGTTCCATTACTGGGATTAATGACTAATTACTCAGGTGTATGCTTCCACTGCACCCAGCGATTGCTGGGGAAACAACAGGTGTTTTTTCAGTGAAGTTGAAATGGTGCCTTTCTTTAAAGTCGGAGAACTTGTCAGAAATTAGCATTTTGAACTGTCGATCTTTGGGGGAGCATTTGTTGGTGTGCTGTTATACGTCTAACTGCCAAGATTCCCTTAATTTTTTACTTAAATTGTAGGCAGGTAGCTATGCCATGTAAGTTACAGAGTTGAAGATTAAATTGAAAGCAAATGATCAGAAAAAGGTTGAAAGTAAAATAGGGCTGGGAAAACAAAGGTGAGCTTCTACATTGCAGTGAATGCACATGAACCCTTATTAAAGTATACTAGATGAGGTTGCAAAAATAGTGCATCATTCACACGAGTTAAAGTAATTTGTCCTTTCTTATCCAAGGCACCATTTATTTCTGGAAGTAGCTAAGAGAAAAGTGTGAGTAGATAGTAAGTAAGAATGTTTCAGGGTCCTTCCAGCTTTGGAACAAATAGCTCTCCTCTGCTATCAGACTGGATTTTAGTAAAAATATGGCTCTCTGTGCATCTCATTGAAATGCATTTTCCAGATCACTCTACACATACTTGTTGGTTTCCCCTGTACTATTCTCATGAAGAATAACAAAGAAATAACCAGCCTGTGGGAGGTAGAAGGGACAGGTTATACTATTGGTAAATAAACTCTTCTGTCATAGTTTTTCCAGGCTCAGAGTCAAGAGATTTGCCAATTCATTCCCAGAATTCTCTCCCAGACTTTTGTCTTGCTTGACCTGGAATGTCTAGGTACAGAAATTAGGTACATCACCTTGAGGTTAGGATGGGGTTCTTAATGCTATGCCCAGCCACTATCACATAAGACTTTGCTCTTAAGAAAAAGAGCCACTACATGAAATGTGGCTGAATAAAGATGGCACTTCTACAGAGATTGATCTTAGAGTAACATTTCTTAACAGGACTTAAGAGGAAAGAACACCATCACTACTGAATTCTCATGATATAATCCTTGCTACATTATACACCTACTACTTTCAGAGTATCACCGGATACACCAACTTTCACCCTTCTCATGGTTAAAACAATAATGATATAGAGAGCATATTTTAAAGAATGAAAATCTTTAATTTTAATTTAATATTTTTCTCTACTATATTTGGATGGCTTATTTAGACAATAGGACAAAGTGAGTCTTTTTTCCTGACTGAGACATTTTGGAGCAGTTTATGTATTTGAAATTATGACTTGGTAGTAGATTAATGCATATTTACCCAAATTTCAAAATCATAGGGGAAAATATCCCAAATCTCCAATGACAGATGAATTAATGCATAAATTATAATAGTATACTCTATGATTATATTATTCCACAATAAAATGATGAACTACAGTTATATGCAACAATATGGATAAATTTCAAAATAATTGTGATAAGTCATACCACCTAAAAGAACACATTCTCTGTGATTTCACTTTATAATATTGTAGAGAAAACAAACACGTGTAGCTATGGAAGGCAGATCAGGGGCAACTAGGGCCAGAAAGTAGGTAAACAAAAGAAGGGATTAATAAAGAGCACAGAAACTTTGAGAACTAATGAATACAGTAATTATCTTGAGTATTATGATGTTTTGATAGGTGTAGGCATAGAGCAAACCTTATCAAATTGTACATTTGTTGTATCATTAACTATATAGCAAAATCCATAAATTAATCTGTAAACAGATAATACCTGAAATATCAACAAATATTAAGTAAATCAGGCAAAGTAGAATCTTTCTTTGGAACTGTATAAATTTTAACTTTGTTGGATGTTAGAAGAATCCCGTGCATGAATTTTTGGCACCAGGTTTGTGAGTGAGTATTCTATGGAGAGAGATATAGGCCTTTTACTTACCAACAATAGCAAAATGTGAACAAATGAGATTGATGTAGATAAAAAGCAATTTAGGATTAAGAGACATAGAATGGTTCAAACAATATTTACAAAACGAAACCTCTATTTAATGAATAAAACATACTTCTTATTTAAGTTATTCTACGACATACAGACAGATATAGAAGGAGAAAACAAGAGTTAAATAAATAAAGGAAGAGGATCATGAAAAGGAACACAGTTCAATTTATCTCCAGGACAGTATCAGGTAAATAAACAAAGGTAAATGGACTTGGAACAAATAAATAAAGATGTCCATGAAGTATTCCCATCTTGTGAACTATCAGAAAACTTTTTTTTTTTTTAAGACAAAGCAGGTTCTCTCTTCACTATAGTCAATATAGCAATGGCATTAAATAAGGGAAAGGGCAGATCCACTTCTGGGCTCTAGGCACCCAGGCCTGTTACTCTGAGGTCAAAAGAGCAGAAAATAGTTTAAAATGTTGTACCTTGTGTGATTAAATTCAGGTTGAATTCAGATTGTTATTTAATAAGGTCATATCTGAAGACATCTTTAGATGTTTCAGTAAAAAAAAAATGAATTGAGAAAGTGTGATAAACTGAAGCAATTACTAACTGAACAGCTTAAGCCATCCAAAAAGGAAATATTTTTAGGTTGATGTTTTCTTGATGATTTATAAATCATATCAGCAAGGCCTATGTTCATACAACTGTGTTGTGGGAGTATCTACCATATTGAACACTACTCCAATGCTATACTGATTTTAAAACAAGATGAACCTTGACATCACAAAAAAAGGTTTAGAAACTACTGGTCAATTTGCATGCCATCACGTTTTACCATCAGGGATATTTAAGAAGAAATCAGAGGTAATCTCACTAACTTTAGTTACTGTCAACAGAAATGCTTTTATAGAATAAAACTTTGGGTTAAAATATAATCCATCTTTGTAATTAATCTCTGTTAATTACGGATTTGCAAATTAACTACAGAGTGATAAAAGTTGCTCTGCTTATTTTTTGTTTTTCACTAAATTTTTAATAATATCTTGCAGGTTTGTGCTTTCGCTAGAACGTATTTACTGATCAAACTACATACCCATATTAAAAAGTTCCACAATCATTTCTCATCATCCAGAAGGGTCTTTTTTTCTTAACTTTCAATATCTAGCAGGATATTCAGGCCCTTTTATTTTTTGAAAGTTAGTGTGTGCTTCATAATTCCAGATATTCTGGAGGCCAAGGCAGGAGAATTCCAAGTTTGAGGGCAACTTGGTGAGACCCTGTCTCAAAAAAAAAAAAAAAATGGTGGCTGGGGATGTGTCTCTGTAACAGAGTGCTTGCCATGTACACGTGAGTCTCAGGGTTTAATCTGCAGTACCACAAACTAAACTAAAAATAAGTGAAAATCAATATGTGAAAGTTGATTAAAAGTCAAATTTGTCACCTTGGAATTTTTCTGATAGATCTGCTGGGGAAAAGCACTGAGGATGTTTGATGAAGCCTTTCATACATACCAGCTATTACTGCAAAATACCTTGGACCTGATATTAAGGAGTGGTGGTGTGAATAAGGCAATAAGCCCTTCATCATCTTGTCTAGGTGAGGTAGAGTCTTTGTAGAAGAAAAGAGACCGAAGAGTTATTTGAAGCAATAATGGTTCTTTGTATGAATCTCTTTACACTTTGCACATTGAAGTTGCTCAATCAATATTTAAATTTAAACAAGGAATATAATATTTCATGGCAAGAAATAGTCTCGTAGTCTCTGCTGAGATAAAGAACACTTCAGTGGGTCGTGGAGCAGCCACTTCCTCCTGGGCCTGGAGCCTGGGGGTTGGGGGCTGGGTACCAGCAACTCTCCTCCCTGTGTGGAGGTACCCCTTGTTCCTGTACGTGATAGGGGCAAGGAAGCCCAGCAACAAGGGCCTCAATGAGTCAGAATTGACTCTTTTGTGCTGTCAGGAAATTAGAAATTTTGCCCAAAATATCTGCGACAAGATACACAACAGATAAGAAAGTCACTGTAAGAATGAGACATAAATGAGAAAAAAATCATGCTTCAGCATTTTTACACATTTGCTGTTGAAGACAGACAGGACAAGCCCAACACTCTCAGAACACTCTCAATCCCTCTGCCACAGGGCCACTGTAGGTCCCAGCCGCCCGTCCCCCTGAGGCACAGCTCACCCTGGTGGTCACACCTTGTCTGTGCCTCGAAAAATACAAAATTACCTTCTTGAAATAATGAGAATCAAAGTTAATCCAGGCGAGTTTTTATCAAAGAGGTGAAATATACATCTTTATTTTTACCTGTGAGACAGAAATAAGGGGGAAAAAAATTACACACACACACACACACACACACACACACACACACATGAATGCACCACATCACAACACAGAAAGAGAAACTGTGTCTCTGGGTAAAGGGAAAATCCAAGAGAAGAAACATTAGTCCTAGCAAAATCTAATCCAGGTGGATTAAAATACTATATGAAAAATATTGTTGAGATACTCTGGGAAAGCTAGAATGTTACGTTCACTTCACATAAGTAGAGAGAGTGTGTGTGTGTGTGTGTGTGTGTGTGTGTGTGTGTGTGTGTGTGTGTTAGATACATGTATCTCTCTGAGGAATGCTTCCTCCTTTTTCTCTGTTCTTTTCTTCTTTCTTTCCTCTCTTCCTTCCTCTTTTCCTCTTTCCTTCTCTCTTTCCCTTTCTCTTTCTTTCCTCTCTCTCTCTCTTAACCTTTTCTCTCTCCCCTTCTTCTTTTCTTCTTTTATTTTTTACAGAAGTAATTTTTTTTTAAAGGTGATACAGAATCAGAAGAAAATAGCCTTTTCCTGTCTTAACGGGGCCAGTTAACCTGAGGTGACTTGTGACGTTTTCTTTCTCTAATGCCTCTACGGATCCTGTGGTGTGGAGACCCACACTACATCACCTTTTAGTAGCCTCAATTACAATGTAAATGTCACATAGAAGGATTAGAAAATGAGCTTAGAATAATCTATGTGGGTTGTTGTTGTTACGTGGGCTTTAAGGGAAAGGGACACTGTACAGGGCCATGTGTGCCAGGGACTAGACAGGGCTGTAGGAATGCCAAGAGCCTGGGAGTCCAGTGAAAGGAAAGAGAAGACTGACTGAGTCTCTTTACAAGGCTGATGCTGGATTTTTCTAAAGGTATTTCTTTTTCCAAAACAGGCCATGGCTGTAGGTAGTGGAGCTGGGCTTGTCTCTTTTGTGAATCTGTACCCTGAATTTTCAAACGTCTGTAGGGGTAGTAGCAACAAAATGAATAAATAAATGCATGTACCCATTAATTAATTTTTGAATGCCTACAAACAATAAGTATTGTTCCAAAATATTTTGGAACCCTGTCTTTAAAGACGATTTGAGAGTGGTTAACAGAAATTATTTTAGTTTTTAAAAGTCTCATGTTTTATTTCTGAAATGAAAGTGAGAAGCTTCAAAGACAACAGCTGCCACTTTAGAATCCAAAGTGTTAGAAGTAAAGTAGAAATTCCTCTAAGTTTTCAAATGTCTTCAGTCATCTATAGCAACTGTCATTAACAATTTCCTAGTATTTAAATATTTGGCTGAATTTTAAGGAACAAAATTGATCTATAAACCAACATGTACATAAATCTTCATGATAATTAGGAAAAATAATTACATTTCTTAAAATATAAGCAATTATTACAATGAAGTTCTGTTTATTTTGTTAAAATTCATCTAATATAATACTGTGCATGTTAATATTTTGATAGGTGTCAATTAATTTTGACATGTGTCTTAATACTTCAGCCCATTTGAATGCACTAGAAAAAACATTAGAGCATAGCAAATGTTATTTTCTCTAAAAGTAGAGAAAAGGGCAAACGCTTACCTGAAAACCCCATTGATATTCATATTAAAATTTCTTAGCACAGTATTCAGCATGTGGCATTTTCTCAATTAAATATTTGTTAATGAACGAAGTTAGGTCACATGCCACATTTCAGTACCTCATAGCACTTACAGATTAAAAGTTTAGCTTTTGTGCTTTAAAATGAGATATGGAAGCTCTATGGGCACCTGTTTTAAAAACTGTGTCATTTCAAAATTTATAACATTAAAGTTTCTTGAAATCATTTTCTAAATGTATCAGCATCAGAGGCAAAGCAACCAAGATGTATCTCTTTCATAAAGTAATAATATTATAATACTTGCGACTGTAATGAAGAAACCTCCTTGGAAGGTGAGATGTGTGCATATGTGTATAGACTGTGATGTCTGCTAAATTAGAAATGAAGTGTGACTGAGCCCAGTATTACTAGGGAAAAATATATAGTGTAGATATTCTAATTTCTAATATATAATTTGCAATTATAAGCATAATAAGAAAACACTTGATAAAAAATAATTTTAAGCAATTTTCTATCCCACTAAATTAAAATCTGAATGTTTATTCAAGCAAATGTTTTGAAGATGTTCTAAGAATCTGCATTGAGCTAGGAGGATACATTTTCTTATCTTCCCTAAGCTTGCATTTAATTAAGTCATGGATTTTTATTATTACTAAAAAAGGAAGCAAAATATTGATTAAATCAGTGAATATTATTATTATTATTATAAAATATGACTATTATTGTAAAATATGAAAACATCAAGGCCTTGTTTGAGAATTTTGGCCTCTAGATAAATTTCTGAAATACTGAAGTGGGTTTTGTTAATGAAAATGAAATTACCGTGATGTGAAACCTTCCTGCTACTTGCAAATCTCCAGATTGTAGTTAAGTAGAGTCAACCATGACATAGTCCAAAATTTGTTCACACATTTCAGCATGAGTGATAAAAAGTAATGAATGTTGCCCAAGAACCGAAGATTTCTTCTTTTTTGTCTTTCTTTCTCTCCTTCACCTTCTTTTCCTCCTTTTTTGACCACTTAAATAAATGATCAAGAGTCCATTATACAAGAAATGAGATATGGAAGCTCATCACTTTGGATGCTGGGTTGGAACCACCTCTGGGGAAACACAAGAGCTATCATAGCAACTCAACCCTTTCTGGTATTTAGGTCAATAACTGAAACAATAACTGTAGGTACTCAACTTTGTCTTGAGAAAGAATTAAAGAAGAATTTCTCTTCTCTAATTGAATCTCGTCTGCAGTTCTTTAAAGGATTGTGTCCATTCAGAAATTTCTCTTTGCATTAGTACAAATGTTTAGATAATTGGTAGGAATGCTCATGTTCATTATTGCTTTATCTTCCTTATTGGATCAACACTCATCAGAGAGGCTTCATGGCAGTGAGACCTATGTAAGTTATGCAGGACGTTAAGCTCAAGAGGGCTTTGTGCTTAGTTTAGTATTATGATGTCACCAACTTGAAATTATTAATAATCTTTGAACAAGTGTCTTTATTTTCATCTTTCACAGGGTCCTACTAATGATGTGACTAGTGCAGAAACTTGGTATAAAGTGTGACCTCAAGGATCTGAATGATCCCAACGACACCAGTACAGAGTCTTAGCACTTGATCCTGTGTTTCCATTTTCACAAGGCAAGAAACAGCATTCTTCAGAGTAGATTCCTATGATTCTTAATGATTGCAAAGTCAAGTTATCACAGTGACCTTTAATAGAAATTTTCAAGTTTCTATGATACTAAAAGTTAAGGAACTTTAGAGTTTATGCACTAAATACTAAAAGATGCTAAACAACAACTACTACTACTACGATTACTACTTCTTCTTATTCTTCTTCATACTAAGAATTGAACCTAGGGGTACTTAAACACTGAGCCACATCCCCAGTCTTTTTAAAATATTTTATCTAGAGAGAGGGTCTCACAGAGTTACTTAAGGCCTCTTTAAGTTGCTGAGGCTGACCCTGAACTCACGATCTTCCTGCTTCACCCTCCCAAGCCACTGGGATGACAGGTATGTGCCACTAAACCTGGCAAATGATGCTAACCTTTTGTTTTATGTTCTGCTGAGAAAGGGCAATGACCTTACAGGCTGATGAAGGGAGAGAAGCTGGTATTAGGTGTAGCCACCATATCCGAAGCACATTCCTGCCCACTGAAAAATCTTCATCCACATAATCTGAGGGCATTAAAGGTAGAATAATCCTGAATACAATGCAAATAATACTCCTAATATGTTCAAAATAATTCACAGATGCTCTCAGAGTAATGATCTTATTTGAGGTTTATTATAATGCGATCAAATTAGAGAAACAGAGAGAGTGGTCCAAATTCATTTATTAACTTCAAACAAACTTCAAACAGGGGTATTTTAAATCCAAGCCCAGTGCTCTTGTTACTGGTCTATTCTACTTGTTATAAACCTTTGAACCTCTAATTAGAAGGGCTGCCCACATCATGGGGGCATGATAAAGTAGATGAAGTTATCTTTTGTTTACCATTAAGGACCTCATCTACAAGAACCCAATATCATTTGAATGATGGTTTTCTCCTAGAATTCTTATTTTGTGATCCCAACACCTAAGATAATCATATTAGAAGGCAGGGATTTTGGGAAATGATTGGGTCTTGGGAAAGAGCTCTTATGGATGGAGTTGGTTCTTTTAGGAAAGAGACCATAATGAGACTCCTAACCCCTCTGGGTTAGGTCCTCATGTGAGGACCAAGCAAGAAGGCACAGTCCATGAGCCAGAAAACCAGATGTCGCCAGGCACAAAGACTGCTTATGTGGTGATCTTAGACTTCCCAGTCTCCAGAACTGTAAGAGATAACTCGGTGTTGTTCACAAGCCACCCAGTTCGTGGTGGTATCTCATTCAGCCCAAATGAGCTAAGACAATGTGTAAGTGGTGGAAAAGGAACAGAGCTTTAAAAATGCTGTAGGAAAAGAAGAACAGAGAGGAAATATAGGAAAAGGAAACCACTACATCTTGGAGTGGATAAAACCACTTTGTGGTCATTTTATCAATACCCACCTCTCTCCCTCTCCAATTCAATGAAAAAGCCCTCTCAATAACCATGATTTTTTTTCATTTTAGAAACATTTACAACTGAGTACTTCCTGTCAAAATATCACATTCTATTCCGATGATGAAGAGCTCTAATTGCTTGAAGGTTCTGGCTTAGGTTAAACTGAAATTTGATTCCTTGTAAGATAGAGTAAAATATGCTCTTTGCTCTGAACTCTACAGAGGAATACAGCCATAACATGTAATGCCAATACACATGCAATAAAAATCATAGTGGAGAAGACATGCAAACAGTATAGAAAACAACACTGGGCAGAAGAATGCTATCCTAACATTGCTAGAGAGTTTCACATCAAGCTTGCTGTTGTCATAGTCTGTGAAGTACAGCAATTTTTTTTTTTCAGAGGCAGGGTTCAGCTCAGAAGTCTTTGACTTCCTGTCTTAAAAAAAATGTTTATAGAATCTTTTTGTCTCATTTTGGCCTTTTTCTTTTTCATACTGAATAATTAACTCAACTCATAGAATATTGTCTATGGAATCCACATATGATAAGAGCAAAACAAAAAAATGAAGATCTATCCTCTTAACTCCATCTACACTATTGATGACTATTTTCCAGTTCTTTGGTGACCCCATTAATGAGGACTACCAGGTTTAAACCCATTTTATAGATATGATCTGTCAATTGCAACAAGGGACTCCTTAGTGCCTTTTCACATGCCAGAGTTGGTGCCAGCAACATTGTTATTTTATTGGCTTACCCTTAACCCATAATTCTGACAAATGCTGCATAGAACAGGTGTTCCACAAGAGCATATTCTTGGATTTTAAAAGGAAATCTTCCATGATCTTTTATAATTTGATCTCTTTTAGCTTTCAGCTAAATAAATGAAAGTTGATCTTTTTGCCTGCAATCAATTAATTTTTCCCCTATCTTATTTCTCCTAAACATTTGGTAGCTCTGCTGGCAATGATATTTGAAGTGAGAGGGAAAAAATCAAAAAACAAAGCAAAACAACCCTCCTAATATTCAAAATGCCATTATAAATCCTAAAACTGAGGTACATGGCATTTTAACAGCAGCTAACTCCAGGTTGCACAAAACTTAAGGGTAAACTTCATCATAACACCGTGTTGAGGATTTTGCCCTGAGTAGATGTCTTCGTGATACCTTTGTGTCTTGAGCGTGAATCTAGCACAGTGAATCTAGCACACCAGAGCCATCTAGCAAAATCACCTAAAATGTGAATAAGGCAAGATTGTCATTATGTATTGCAGTTGACTCCAGCAAGATCATAGGGATTATTATATACTCTCAAAAATCCACTCAGGTTCATTGATTACCTAGAGTTTTGACAGAATAGTTCCTCACCCCAAGATGATAATTTTCTCAAACAATACATTTCCTCTCTTACTTTCCAAAAATTCTTCCATTTTCTGAGCTCTTTCTCCCATTTTCTTAATGGTTCAGAAAGATCTGACATTTGCAGTCTTTAGTGTCTCACTGCATGCTTTTTCCTGACTTGCTCCCTGGAAATCTAAAGTTATTTTATCATTTGTTTAGGGCTCCAAATGGAGTTCTATAATAAAGATGATTTTCTGGACTCCAGATGATTGAATTAAAATTGGATTTGAGTAGGAGTGTCTTTCCTGATTTTCTATTTCTCTGTAATATTATGAAAGATATATATATATATATATATATATATATATATATATATATATATTTCTAGTTCCTAATCCTACATTATTTTTAGTTTTTCTTCTTCTTTTTGAGTCTAAATTGTATATTCATATACATATATTCTCTGGGCACATTTCTTGAGACTTTAGTTCATTCATCCTGTAATACTTTTTTCTAAATGAATTCCCTCTGGATATTATCAACTTTCAGTATTTCTTTGTGATTTTATGTTTTTCTATTCATCTTACAATGATTTGGCACATCTGAGATTGTCCTTGCTATCGTGGAAAAATTCTACAGTTCTACATTTGCTAAGCACTGGTTGTATCTGATGGGATTTCAGAAACCCAAATAAATATTGGGAAAGCAAAATTAAAATGCACAAGGACAGAATTAAGAGCAGATATCTCCCACACAAGTAGGTTATTGTCTTTCCCCCCAGAAATGACCTACATTCTCCCTGAAACATGTATATACTTTCCTAATCAAACCGCTGTCTATGTGTTTGAAAACAAAAACAAACAAACAAATGGAAAAAAAAAGCAGATATATTTTCCTTATTCCTATTTGTTATAGTTTGGATACAAAATATCCCTTGATGCAAAAGTGGTCAGACATGGGATGTTTTAGAAAATGGTTGGAGGATGAGGGGTCTAATCTCAGCAATTAATTAATCTACTTGATGGTTAATAATGTGAATATAATGTTGAAATTTGGTATAAACTGTGGGAGGTGGGGTCTAGTTGGAGGTAACAGTTCTGGGGGTGTGTCCTTGGGGATTTTAACTTATCCCTAGCTCTTTTCCTTCTCTTTCCCTGCTTCCCAGAGGTCAAGAGGTTAGCAGCTTTGCTTCAGCAGACTTTCCACAAAGATATTCAGCCTGGGGCTGGGGTTGTGGCTTAGCGGTAGAGTATTTGCCTAGCATGTGTGAGGCCCTAGGTTCAATCTTCAGCACCACATAAAAATAGATAAATAAAAATTTAAACAAAAAAGATATTCAGCCTTGCCTCAGGCCCAATCCAACAGAGAAAGCTGACCATAAACTAAACCTCTGAAACCATGAGCAAAAGCAAATCTTTCCTGCTTTAAGTGGCTTTTCTCAGTTATTTGACACAGTGATGCAAAACTGACTAAAACACCACTGTGGATGGAAAGTTTCTAAATATTCACCATTAAGTATATTATCTGCTATAGGGTTTTGGTAAATAACTGTATTATTTAGGGTTCTCAAGAGGAGCAGAACAAATAGGAGGTAAAGGGGATTTATTAGATTGGCTTACCCAACCAGAAGCTGGATAGTACACAATGGCCTTCTGCAGGCTGGAGAACTGGAGAAATCAGTAGATGTATTGAAGCTTCAGAAATAGAAGGATCAACAATGCTACCCCAGTTTCTAAAGGTTTCTGGGAGATCCCTGGAAAATTACTGGCAGAGTCGGCTTTCAAAGAGTAAAGGATCCAGAGTCTGATGTCCTCAATTTAATCATAGCAGTAATCAAGAACCTGTTCAAGAAGATTCAAGCTTACATCTACTGCTGTTTCCTTGTTCTTCCAACTTTTATGCCATCTAAGTTTTCAATCTATTGGGCAGTGCTGCCTACACTTAAAGAGGGTCTCCACTGAATTCATTATCCCACATGCCAATCATTCCTAGATACACCCTCATTGACACACTCAGAAGCCTCTCAATCTTTGGCATCTCTTAATCCCATCAAGTTGACAATTCAAATTAACCATGACTTTTTTTTTTTTTAAATTTTGGTGGTTCTGGGGATTGAACCTGGATCCTTGTGCATGTTAGACAAGCACTCTACCAACTGAGTTATGTCCCCAACCCTCATAAAAATAATCTTCATCCTATTACTGATTTTGAACATTTTTAATTATTGTTAATTGTTAATGATTGGGAGCACAATTTATTTGAAGACTTTTTTTCTCTTATAAGATAAAACTGAATTCTTATAAGATGAATATAAATTATCTAGCTTCTTAAATAATTATGCAGATAATTGCTTTTAACACCTAATGTGTTACTTTTTATAAATATTTGAAGTCAATTTATGAATCGAGTTTATGAATAGAGTTTACTGTATCTGAAGTTTTGACTCTATTTATGATTGAACCTTCAATTTTCCTCTTTTGTTCTATCCTTGTCTTGTTCTGACATTTTAGTTTTATAAATCTCATAAAAAATGTTTCTCTGTATATCTAGTCTATGGAAAAAATTGTGAAGATCACAGATAAGCTCTTTGGAGAATTTTGCTAAAACTTGTCTATAATAGCATCTAGACCTATCAGCAATCATTAAAGAGCAGAGAAAAAGGAGGATATTTTACTGACTGTTCAATTTATTTTATATCTATTGATCCATTCAGGCTTCCTCTTTCTTCTTCTTCACATAGTTTGACAATATGCTTATTTAATTATTTCTAGAAAATTTCTATGGCATATAAGTTTTAAAATTTATTGGCATTATCATTAGTTTCATTTTATTATGGTTTAGATGTGAGGTGTCTCCTGAAAGCTCACATGTAAGACAATACAAGAAGGCTCAGAGAAAAATGATTCTGTTGTGCCAGTCTTAACCCAATCAGTGAATTAATCCCCTGGTAGGGATTAACTGAGTGGTAACTGTGTGGCTGGGGGAGGAGGATACTTGGGCATGACTTTGGAGTATATATTTGTATCAGGCAAGTGGAGACCTCTTTCTCTGCTTCCTGAGCACCATGTGAGCTGCTTCCCTCTGCCACACACTCCAACATGATGTTCAGCCTCACCTTGAGCCCCAAGAAATGGAGGCAGCTCTCTATGGATGGACATCTTTGAAACCATGTACCCCTGAATAAACATTTTCTCCTCTGCAATTATGCTAGTTGGGTCCTTCAGTCACAGCAGAAAAAATCAACTAAAATACATTTGCTGATGATTTTTAAAACAATCAAAACTATAGTTCCTATCATTTTTCTAGTTTCTCTCCTCTTTCCCCCCCCCCTTCTTTCCTTCCCTCCATCTCTCCCTGTTGTAGAGATCTGTCTCTCTTTGACCAGGTTTCCTTGAATTTATTTCTAATTCACTCATTTCTAAATATAGTATATATTTCATTTTTAAACAAAACTGGATCTCAATTAAATAGAAGGATATTATATTTTACCCCCAAATCAAACTTTCCACTTACTCTAGATAACCATCATTTGCTGCAGAGTAGATGTCCTTTTCAGAATGTAGTTAGACTTGTACTTGTTAAATGATGACACTTGTGAATATCCATTTATTTCTCTTTTCTACTTCTATTTATTTCTTCTCAGATGCCCTCTAGGTGCTCATGTGCTCTACTGCTCTGAGAAGCCCTTTCTGACTCAGATCCTCCCAGATCTGGGTGCTCCATCCATCCCACCCTCATTACTTCCTGTTCTAGACTCCATCACAGCAGCAGGTGACATGTTTAATCGTCTTGCTTTATCTAAGTGAAAGTCTCTTTGCTCTCTTGTAAGTTCTTTTAGAGCACACACAGTGAGTTTTGTTTAGAGTCTCCAAAAATCTCATGATGTATCCTAGATATAGGATAGAATGGGCACTCAATAAATCAGTTTAAATTTCTAACAGTACTTTGTGTTAATTTTTTTTCACAAAAAGCACAAGAAAAATTAGTATTTTGAATGCATTTTGGTGGGTTAGAAGATGTTGACTCATTTTTTAGGGAAATTGAACACCAATCCATTTGGAATGTCCAGCCTATTTATTGATTTATGATTTATCTTGTTCTAACAAGAATTTTAGCAGCTGTATCATATCTGTAAGTATCAACTTCTATAGCCTTTAGAAGAGACTCCCCAAATATTACAAATTGCCTTCTAGAGGTTAACAGTGTTCCTGTTGTTAGCTGTGAATACATAGGTTATACAATAGTCTCTGAAGCATGAAATAGAGTGTTGTATATTGTTCAGACTCATAATCTCTAAGAAGAGGTGCATCTTTCTTCAAAATGACCTAATTCAGCTGAGTGAGATGGCATATGCCTGTAATCGCAGCAGCACATGGTGAGGGGGAGCAGCTGAAGCAAGATGATGGTGAGTTCAAAGCCAGCCTCAGGAACTTAGCTAGGTCCCAAGTAACTCACCCCATGACTTAAATAAAAAACAAAACACTGAGGTTGTGGTTAAATGGTTAAGTGCCCCTGGGTTCCATACCCAGGACCAAAAAAGAAAAAGACCGAATTATTGCCTTTCATTAACTCATATCTTCTTTCTTATATAATTTATAACTTTGAATTATATCAACTATATTAGCACTATTTCCCTGTAATTATATTTGATATAGTTAACAAATGATTGACAACTGGAAAAGTCTTTTCCTTTAGGCATTTGCTTAAAATGATAGAAATTTGAAACTTGCCATATAGGTTTGCCAGAATTAAAATAACAAGACCAATTTCACTCCAACAAGAGGATATTTATAATGTTTAATTTAATTCACTTGTTTTTGATTCAACATGAATATATTATATGATTCTACAAAGCAAAATGGTCATATCATGTGGTGGCCTGAGCAGATTTCCAATCCATCTTCCCATGTCTTTTGCTTGTAGAATTGCCAAGCAGGTGTCAGTCTCCAGAGTGAATCCAAGGAATGGAGCCCAGAAATAGGTATTTTGTGATGCAGCTTTCATGCAACCTGTCTTCTCTGAACCACAGCTCCAATTCCCACGGTGTCTGCATCTGGGACAATCACAGAGATTTTATAGACTAGTAGTCAAGATGATCCTCAAGGCCTATTACTCACTGGTCTATTCAAGGAAGTGATATAATTACTCCTCTAGGTACTAGCCAGTAATAACATAAACAAGAAATAAGAAAAATAAATGAAGTAAGTATAGTTTTGTGGCTAATACTTTTTAAATGGATAACCTTCAAAAGTGATTAGAGATCAGAGGATTGAGGAGAACAAAAAATACACTTGCTTTTACATATTTTTTTTCTGTCAACTCATTAGTTTATATTTAGATTGGTATCTAGAGGTGGGTCCCTTTTTATATACTATACTACATTCAGGATGGCATATGTTAGGCAAGCTATACATGTGCACATATGTGGGGTCTCCATGTATGAGCATGTGTATAAATACACATATGCAGTGTCTGAAACAGACCTTGCTGAATGCTATGTTACCCCTTCTCTTTTGGTTAAGCAGGGAAACTGGTTTTGGAATTTATTAGTGGTTGTCACTTCAGATAGATTAGAATTATATATAAGCCATGCCCTTCAGGTCCTGCTGTGTCTATAATTCCTGCCTTCTTCATGTTTCTAGAAAAACATCCTATAGACATTGTTGACATTTTAAATCTTTCCTTTGACCAAACTTGACTTGGACTCCTCTGAACTCTCTTTTCGACAAGGTGCTACTTTGAGCTCCTGTCTTGGTTCATTTAGTCCAATTTTAGCAAGATTCTTGATGGGTCCATTTAGTGAAAATCCCCTACCCTTGCTGTTTGATCCAATTCCTCATTTCCCACCCTCAATAGTTTATCACCTGGCCTTCCTTTGTTTATAAAGTATGTCTATCAAGAATCCCCCTAGCTTTGCTTTGATGTTTTTGTTGATTTTCCATTGACAGACCCCTCTCAACCATGCTCTTTAGCTATAAATTCCCACTTTCCTGAACTCCTTCTTTTTAGCCCAAACTCTCCCCTGAAATATAACAACCCACTGTAGAAGAAGTATATTTCTGTTTAAATATTTTTACTCCTCAAACTCATGTTAAAGTTGAATCTCCCAAAGTCATACGTTGGTGGTATTTTGAGAGTGGAAACTAAATCTATGATGCTTACACATGAAAACTTTGAGAAGCGATTAGGACTGAACAGTTGTTAGGGTAGATGAAGGAGGATGGCACCATCCCTGTCTCTTGCCATGTGATGTCCTATACTGACTCTGGACTCTCTCACCAAGAAGGCTATCACCAGGTATGTCCCCTGGACTTGAACCTATAGAACTGTGAATGGCAAGTGGGAAAGGAGAGAGAGAGAGAGAGAGAGAGAGAGAGAGAGAGAGAGAGAGAAACAGACTATTCCTCTAGGGTGCATCCCCAGTGACCTATTTCCCCACCTGCTTACAGTTTTCCCCACCTCCCAATAGTCTGTCCAAACTACTTATCCATCAAATGGATTAGTCCACTGATGAGGTGGATTAATGATGCCACAGTTTCCTAAAAGCTCCACTTCTGAACATTGCTGCACTGGGGACCAAGACTTTGACACATAAATCTTTGGAACACATTCAAGATTTAAACCATAACACCCAGCTTTTTTATTATACTAATGAAAAATGGACTAATGTATCTTCCTTGAATAACTTTTTTTTTCAGTTCTCTTTAACAAATGAAACGAATTATTATTTTTCTTTAACATTGCCATAGAACATTCTGCTACTGATTCTCAGAGGCTCCTTGAAGTCATGAATTTGTACTTTCCTCGCATTGCCTGTCACGAACCTAAAACAGCATTCCAAGAATTAGCTTTTGCTAATCACATTCTCTTAGAACTTACAAACAATGAGAACCCAACAGAATTTAGTGTCTTTTCTCATTTGATTTAATAGGCGGAATAAACAAAAATGATATGCATTCTTTTTAAAATATTCCTATAATAGCTCCAGATTTACATAGGAAAATGGAAACAAAAGAGGAGAACAAAGCACATAAAAAGTGAGAGAAATCATGAAAGGTAGTCAAATAAAATCAGATGAGGTAGACAAGTTCTTTGGAAGTAGCTCTAAGAAGAGTCTGAAACTAGTAGACATAAATGCAAGGATAAAATCTACTTTGATTAGAACATTTATTTTAATGTTTTAAAAACTGACAGATAAAATCCTTGTGTATATATTTAAATATATAATTTTTGTCTGTGTATGTATATATGTGTGTGCATGTCATGTGCAATCATGCAATATTAAACATATACACATTACATATGGCCAAACCAATCCAACCAATAAATGTATCACTCCACATGGTTGTTTTTGTGCTCAGAACACTTATTAATTTCTTAGCAGTTTTCAAGAATGCAATATATTGTTATTAACTGTGTTAGGTCAGTGGTGGCGACTTAGTGACAACTTAGAACAAAGCAGCCCGCTCTGGAAAAGAACATCAATCAGATGCTGGTGGAAATGCCTGTCAATCAGCCAGATCTCCTGACTAACGCCTGTCAATCAACAGGACCCCCCCTGGCCAATCCTGGAGTTCAGCCAACTCCCCTGACCAACTTCAAGGTGGCAAGGGACCCTAGAAACACCGTTTCCTGTCCCAAGTCCTTCCCTTCCTGCTGTAAGCCCCATAAAAGTCCAGTCCGGTGGAGCTTCCACACAGACCCTTCCCCTGTCCCCTCTGTGGGTCTGATGGAGTTCCACCCAGGAGTGATATCTCAATAAAGCCTGTTCAGCGGCCGGTTTTAAATCTGCCTCCTTTGGTTGCTGCCTGCCCTGCCTGATCTGACAAACTGTAGTCACCATGTTGTACAAAAGATCTTCTAAACTTACTCCTCTCACCTAACTGAAACTTTGTAATTGTTGAATAATAGCTTCCCAACTCCCTCCCTATATACTCCCCAGACTCAGGTAACCACCTTTCACTCTATTTAATATAATACCAACTTATGTAGATTTCATGTATGAGTAACATCATGTAGTACTTGTCTTTCTGTACTTGGTTTATTTAACACGATCATTTAAGTAAATATTAAGAAAGAATAAGATTTTAAAAATTGATTTATTTACAAAAATTACACTCAGGACTTAGTCACTACCTACCAAGACACAAGAACTAGAATACAAATTTGAAGTTTCTAAGAAACTTACATTTGTGTCTAGGCAAGGAGGCATCTAGTTGGAAGAGAAAGACAAAGGAATATAGCCTTTATAGTTAAAAAATAATGTTGGCTTGGAGGATATAATCACTTTTGGAAGCTTATTCTCCAAGTACAGCAGATAAGATCACTTAACCTGAAAATAAGATTAAAGACAATTACTACTGAAATTATTATTCCCTTGTTCCTCGCAAATTTCTAGGATTGCCTTTAGAAACTCATCCATTAACTCTTGTAAGTAATTGTTTTAGGCAACAAACCTGTGGAGCAGAATAAGAAAAGAATTTTGAGAGCTAAAATTGTCATGGGAGAAGAGAGGTCTGCAGAGAATGGTCCAGGGAGTTCCCAGAGGAGAAGGAGAACCCAATCAGGACCAGTGGGGCTTTTGGCACACCTGAAGAAAAAAAAAAGAATTTTTTTTCAGCAGAAACCAGGCAAAGGTATAGGCAAGGCTTACTCAGAAAGATAGATACACATTCAAGGAAGAATGTGTATTGTCTTGAGAGTGAGAAGCAGCCCTGATTTTGCCCAATTTTGTGCCAGTTTTTCCTGTGCTTGTGTATGTCCCTCATTTTACAAGGGCATGGGCCAAGAGTATGGGAGTATAACTCCTTTCTACTTCTCAATGGTTTGTGGATGTTTCCTTTAAGATTCAGTATTTCTTTATCTTAAATCTCTGTCTCAAAATGACATTTGATTCAAGGAACAATGGTTAAGATCTTTATATCTGAATTCATTTAGAGATTAGAAATAAGACTAGGAAGAAAATCTTTGTGCAACTGGTCTCCAGATTTATCCAAAGACTCCAGAGGGATTTTAGTTCCACCCTCTTTTTCCACAGTCTTCACAGGGTTTCTGTTCATAAATCAGTATTAAAACCTCTGCCAGTCAGTAACAAGAAATGTGAGTCACAATGACCTGCAGATATTCAAAGCCTGTTCCTTTGACCACCATAAGAATCCTCTTGAAGGCATGGGTGAGTTTAGTATCATGTTACTGGAGTTTTAGACCCGAGGCTGGATTCTGGGGTCCCAACAAAGCAGTCTGACCACTCGTAACTAAACAAATATTTATATATTTATTTATATAAAGTGATGGTTAAAAAAACAGGAAAGGAACTTTAATCAATATGACCTTATTGGGAAAATAAGTGAAATCAAATGTCTCAGCCTTGTCTTCAGAGGTACTAAAATGAGCTTTATATTTAAATAGAGAAAGAATTGGGTCAGGATGCCAAGAGGTATGCATTATTGTCTTGGTCATTACCTCAGTGTTTATTCTCCTAGGTGACTCATATTGCTTAAAGGGTCAATCCAGTTCACAGGAGATAACTGCTCCAGGACATAAGGAAATATGTCTCTTCTAATTCTCATGGGTACTTCCAACCATGCCAGAACGCAACAGTGGTCCATATTATGCTTTGAACATAGCCCTTGCTCTCTGCCACTGTAACATATTTTTTAAAAGAACACATTTCTTTCTCTTCCTCTCTCTCTGCTCCTCTTAATCTCTTCCCTTTCCTAATCTCAGAGGAACCAAAATTACCTTTCTTCTCCCAATTTTAGGCAGATTTTCTGTCCTTACATACACACCCATCATAGGAAGGAAGTAATCAAGACTTTGGGGATGGCACCAGAATTGCTCAGAAATGACTATCTCCCAAATGAACAAGTGAATTACAACTCTTAACAGAGAATGTAGCCTTTAAATTAACTCTTTCAAATCCCTCAGTCCCTGCTGATGGGCAGAATCACAGACTCTGGGAACAGGAGTCTCCTGTGTTTCCTCTTTGCTAGTAAAGCAATAAAACTTCTTTTTCTTTTTTCTCAAAATCGTGTCCTCATTACTGGATTGGCATTGGGGACAAGGACCACACTTTCAGTCACAAGAAAAAAAGTAGGCAATTAATAATGCTGGGGTTAGTGTTGGATTTAACAAAACCATATTCTGAAATGTGGCACTCTGACATGCGGAGCTGTCAGAACCCTCCCTTTGACCCCTGTCTCATAACCAC